ACAATTTCTATTGATAATAGCGTTGAACACTTGGTCACTAAAAAAATATTTAGTGTGACAACATTGATGGTCACAAAATATATCTTCAATGTCAAACAAATTCATCAAAATTTCCATTGAAAATTGTGTCGAACATTTGGTCATTAAATATATACTTAGAGTGACAACATTGATGGTCACAAAATATGTTTTCAGTGTCGAATAAGTTCATCACAATTTATATTGATAATAGTGTCGACTAGATGGTCATGAAAAATTAACAATTGCGACAATTTTTTCAAAAAAAAATCACTAATATATTAGTAACAGAGTTATTAGTGATGAGTTACGACTTGAAATTTTTGTCACTATCCATTTTAGTGTTTAAATTTAATGTTTTTAGTGACCATTTACACTATCACTAAAGGTGCAATTTCTTGTAGTGTGCATTGGGTTTTTATCCGCCACGGAAAGCATATGGATGATGACTACAATAGAGATGAGTGCATGGATGAGGCTCATGACGACGACGTTGGCGAGGAGCCCGAGAGAGTGGCTCGTGTAGACCCGACACCTCCCGCAGATTTCTTTTGAGGTTTTTGAGAAGATGATGTTTCAGTCTTTTGATTCTCTCCAAATCCATGTCGACTCTCGCTTTGATGCGATCGAACATTATCAGAATACTCTTAAGGCTCCTATGATCGAGGAAGTTTGAGCGATCCAACGCCATCTTGACGAATTTTTCATTCCCCCTTCATCACTATCTTAGTTCAGGCATGCATATCATTTAATTTTCATTATTGGACTTTAGACTTTGCAACATTTGGATATTTGACCCAGGATGTTTGGTATTATGAACCTATGTTGATTTGATATTTGGTTGGTTTTTATGTTGAATATTTGAACTAATATGCATTTGTTATGTTGGGATATTCATGCTTTTGGTGCCTTAATGCTTATTCTTGATTCTAGCTTGTTTTAAATACTTTATCTCCTTGTTATATTGTACTAACTTATGAATTATTTTTTATATAACAAAAAAGAGAAGTATGAAATGAAAAATGATTTTTTTTCAAATCAAAATTAAAGTTTAAATTTTTATATTCATAAATCCTTCATTATTTTTTGAAAGGGGGAGCATTTTTCAAAAACAAATTTTCAAATAGTTTTTTATATCAAAAAGGGGAGATTGTTGAATTAAGATTTTGATATAACAATAAATTGCAAAATTGATTTTCGACTTAATTGAATTTATAAAAAAAATTATAAAAAATAATTCAAAGTCTAAATTAACTTGAAAAATATGTTTTAAATGTTTTTCAGCATATTTGAACCATTTTAAAAACTTACTCGATCATTTTTGCGCTTTAAAGTTAAGTTTCCAAGCTTCTATGGCTCAAAAGATTGATCCCTTAGGAAAAGGATCGATCCCCTTGAAAAAGGATATATCCCTTGGATTCCAGTAGGTTTGGGAACGATCCTTTTACAAAAAAGGATTGATCCCTCCCCTTAAAGGATCGATCCCTTTCTTGTAACGGTCGAATTATTTGAAAAAGGATCGATCCCTTTCACCAAAGGATCAATCTCTTGTGTAATAAATGTTGCTTTTGGTTCTAGGTAACAACTATAATAATTTGTAACGATTTTAATAATCCCAACTGCACTAAATGACTAGAATTAATAGAGGAGGTATAAATTGAAGGTCAAAGCTTCCCAAGGTCAACAAAAAAACATATTGAACCAACCTACCAACTTCAAAGTATTTCTTTGTGCTTAATTTGTCGAATTCTTTCTTGTAAACACACTTGTGAGCTTCATTGTTTATTTTGCTTAAGTGTGATTTGGATGAGAGGTTAGTTAGTGCAAACACATTTACCTTGTGTGGTTTTCTCTTTATTTGCTTTATTTGTAATTTATCTTGTGGAAAGAGTGTAAATAAGATTTTTGGGTATAAACTTTGTCGGTTGTTGTAAAGATACACATTGTCATCAAAGGTAACCAAATCTAGTAGATTTGAGAAATACTTAGTATGGATGTTAAGGTAGTGGATGTAGACTTTGATTGAGAAAATTGAATCACTCAAAATTGTTGTGCAAAATTTTTATTTTTCGATTGTTTCCACCAAAATTCTTAAAAAGACCAATTCACCCCCTCTTGGCGTTATTCAGTTAATCGATAAAGCTAACAACAACAACAACAAAAGCCTATTCCCATATGCAATGGGATAAGGGGGATGTAGGTTAGTAGGCTGCCCCCAACGCCAGGTTAAGAGCAGCTTCCGTGGAAGACCTCCGACAGTCAGAAAATTAAAAATAAAGATAAAATGCAATGCATGTATAAATAAATAAATACATAGTTGAACAGTATTCATATGCAGTCTTCATATGCACGTCGATAAAACTAACATTTTCCTAAATAAATAACACATAAATTAAGTAATAGATGTGTGACTAAATAAATAGTTTACCAAAAATAATATTATACATTTAATTTTTATACAATTTCTAAAATTATTAATTATTAAAATATTTAAAATGTAATATTCTTACTTTAATATTATATACTTTTCAATATTATAATAGTTTCTAAATTTGTTAGTATATGAGTACATATGTATGCATGTGTTAGTTTTTTTCTTCGATATCAATATTTATTTTTTACATCAGTGTAAGATATTTTTTCATAAGAAAATGATCAAATGTTACAAAATGATTAACACAATATCTTTTGAAAACCAGAAAATAATTTTCTCTAAAATTATAAATTATTTTTCTAATTTATTTTTTTATGAAACAAGTATACCCATGATCATAGATTACATTCCACTTACATATAGTAGATATCTTCGATCAATTGACAGTGAAACTTATACTTATGTAGATATTTGAATCAACGACCTCTAGAGATAATAATTATACTTCTGTAGATGTTTAAATGATCGAATCTGAGACTATTAAAAATAATAGTTATTCCCTTAACCATTAAATTTATTTAGTTTCTACTTGTTGATACACATTGCATAATATTAATGAAAATATAACATAAACTATTTGATATCAGTTCTAGACTATCAAGAAGAAGTAATACAATACAAACGAGGAATTCTAAAAAAAATGCCACTTGTTGATACACATTGCATAATATTAATGAAAATATAACATAAACTATTTGATATCAGTTCTAGACTATCATGATGAAGTAATACAATACAAACGAGGAATTCTATAAAAAAAATGCCGCAGCACGTAAATTTGCATGGAAAAGGGAACGACTAAGAGCGCGTGAGTTCGTGTCGCCGGTCAACGAATTATCCGATTTGCAGAGGTAGGAGTCAGAGAGGGAGAGCGCGCGGAAAAAAATAAATAATTATCCAGTTGACATTGGGTAAAGATATTATCGTTATTGATGACGTGGCACTCCACGATGGTATTGACACGTGTAAAAACGTCGACATTGGGTCCCTCTCAACACCTCCTCTCCCTCTTTTCTCAGCTAAATTGGAGGCCAGGCTACAGTTTCTTCTTTTTCCTAGAGTGAACTAATTTTCACGTTTTTTTTTTTTGGTTCGATTTGAAAGAACCAAAGAGAAAAAGTAATTACAATGGGATGCATTCTCCGGCAAAGTTTTCCCTTTGCCACTCCGTCTTTGGATCCCCAGCCTTGTTTACCTGAGTTGACTCCGACCAACTCGTATTCCTCCCACTCTGGTGTTACCATTCAGAGCTTCACATACCCTACTGCAGTTGCACAACCGGTAACTCTTTCTAATTTAGCTTCCGTTTCTCATTTCAAGTTTAGAATTATGGTGTGTTTTTTATTCTTAATTAAAACTGTAGATACTCATTTTTGTTCATATTTTTTTTTATTTTTTTATTATATATATATATATATTATATAATTTGCAAACGTTTGAAAATACGTATATAATATATAGTTTCTAAAAACATTTTGAAAATGTATATAATATATGATTTTTAAAACACATTTGAAAACTATATAATATATAGTTTTTAAAATATTTTAGAAAAAAAATATAATATATAGTTTTTAAAATCATTTTTGAAAACTTATATAATATATAGTTTTTGAAAACATTTTTGAAAACTTATATAATATATATTTTTTGAAAATATTTTTGAAAATTATATAGTTTTTAAAAAATATTTTTGAAAATTTATATATAATATATAGTTTTTAAAAAAATATTTTAAAAATTTATATTATATAGTTTTTTTTACAAAAAAAATAATTTTTTATATTTATTATTATTATTATTATTATTTATTACTTATTATTTTTTTTGTTTTAGGTCCAAAATAGGGTCCAATGAAATGGTCCAGTAACAGTCCAACCAGATAGGCTTGATCTAGCTCGATAATGTTTAGGGTTTAGAAACCCTAATATCACAACACCGCAACAGGGAAAAACCTTAAGACATCATTTATACAGTCAGATCTGGACCGTTAGATCTGACCCAATCCAACAGCCATAAGCAATCTCAAGCATCACCGGAAATGAAACCGGTCAAACAGGCAACAAAATCGGAACAAACACGTTCCACAACACCAAACAGAACGCAGGTCGTAACAAGATCGGGAACGATCCCAGAATATCCAGGATCGACCCTGAGATCACCGGAAATGAGCCACCAACGGTGGGGTATAAATACCCCACCAAGCCTGTCACAGGGGGAAGACAATACTAAACAGCAGCTATCGAACCCACGACGAGAACAAAAAGCGACCATCAACAATGTCAGAACATCAACCCACGGCCAACAAGACCCAAATAGAGAACCATCAACAACGAAACCAACAGCAGGATCAAACAAATAAGAGATCAACAGTGAGGCAAAAAAACCATCATCAACAACAGACAAAAACCATCACCAAAATACAACCAAACGCCACTAAACCAAACCACAAAAGGGAAGAAACCCAGAGTTAAAAACTATATATAAAAACCATTCGAAGTTACAAAGACGGTCGGAGCCAAGAGGAGCCAAACCCACCAGGAGAACCGAAGAGTCACCGTCGGTGAGGTAAAAAACCGGATCTTTGGGCGTAGATCTACGCTTTTGTGGGATTTTGGTCACGGATTTATCTTTAGGGTGGTAAGGGGAACGTCTCATCGCTTTTTTGTTTTTTCGACCACTGCCGACGGCGGTGTCTGATGGTGATCGGTCTTTACCGGTGGCCCTCTGATGAGAGACGGCTAGAAAGAGGCGAGAGAATTTTTTTCTTTCATTTCAGTAGAGAGAGGGAACCAAGTGAGCAAATGAGGTTGTGGGCGAGTTTGGCCTTTGTTTTGGGCCTTATATAATCCCCACGAAACGACGTAGTTTCAATGGGGAGTGTTTTTAATTTTGTTCGGGGGATAATGTCATCTAGGGTCCCTCGTCCTTGGTAATTCTATTTTCTAGCCATGGATTAAACTTTCAATTTATTTTATTTTGAGTATCAATGTTTCAATACTTTTATTTTAGTTTGACACTTATTTGTTTTGTTAATTTCATTAGAACTCGACTTTGGGTATTATATTTGCTAGCATTTTATTTTAACCACTATCTCATTTTGGTTTAACTATTATTTGGTCCTACAAGTTTTAAGGGTTTACATGTTAGTCTTGTTTTTTATGTTACATGTTTTTTTGTGTGTTAATATTCCAATTTGGCCCTCTAAATTTTATTTTATTTTTTTCATATTATTTTTATTTCATTTAACATTTTTTCATTTCTTTTTATTTATTTATTTTTTATATCCCTTTGATTTATTACTTTATTTTTAAATACTTTTATATATATATATATATATATATATTTATTTTTTCTCTCCTTTGATTTATCATTTTGGTATTTCTTATTAAATTATTTATTTATTTATGAGAAAATAACCTCAGTGACCAAAAATCCCATATAATATATGATTTTAACCAACTTTTTCCGGATTTGCCAAAATGACCAACAAAATCGCAATGCGATCTCCATTATCACAAATCAGTTTCCAGATTCGCAACGCGATTATGACTATCGCAATGCGATTTTCCAATTTCGCGTTGCAATTTTCCCAATTCGCAATGCGAATAAGTAAATCGCAACTCGAATTGGGAAAATCGCAATGCGATAATACAAAATCGCAACGCAATACTGACTTTCGCAACGCGATACTTACTTTCGCAACGCGATACTGACTTTCGCAATGAGATAATACATAATCGCAATGCGATTTTCAAAGCGCCATTAGTATCGTAACGCGTATTTTATTTTCAAATTCCAAACACGAATATTAATATATTGGAACACTGAACCGTCCACAGTATATCCCGTAATCGAAACTCATAACCTAAAACCTAAAATCACAACTCAGTCCCATCTCCATCTCTCACTCTCTCACCCATCTCTGACGAAATCCCGTCCCCATCTCTGGCGAAATCCGTCTATCTCCATCTCTCAGAGCCACCCTCACAATCAGAAATGGAAAATCAACCAAATCAACCACCGAGGGTTAGTTTTTTAATTATTTTCTTTTTGAAATTTTTGCATTATTATTAGGTTTTTCATATTGAAATTGATGATAAGTTTACTGGTAATTTCAATAATAGATTAACCATTTCACTTAGATTGCTTATTAAATCAACCGAGAATCGCAACGCGAAATGAAAATCGCAACGACAAAATCGCAACGCGATTTTATTCTCTCGTTGCGATAGTCAAATTCGTGTTGCGATTGTCATTTTCGTGTTGCGATTGTCATTTTCAGAAACTATTCTTCTTCTGCAAATTGAAACTTGAATGAATTGCATTACTTCAACAAAAAAACAAAGACAAATAAGAAATTCATAGTGTTGCAAATTTAAGTTTAAAGAATAAACTACTACTCTTTATGTTTATTATTGTTTTTGGTATATCTTCACAGTGTAGTTTTTGGTATATCTAACTTAGTATGTTTATTGTTTTTGTAGAACTTTTATTCGGCTCAATTGACCTTAAGAAATAAAGTCAGCCTGGCCAAAACAATTGCGTCGAAGCTTTCACCTGCACAAAGAAAAATGTTTGAGGATACTTGCTTCGGGCCATGGTTGAAAGTACAACATCCCGGTGGAGATGCGATGTTGACACACCTGTTTCTTCAAACCATGATTAGCGATCTACCAGATACTATACAACGTCGTGATGAAGAGATATGGTTTGATTTTCCACCGGCGTATACATGTTTTGGGCGGGAGGAGTTTTGCTTAATCACCGGTCTACGCTTCGGACACGATGATGTAGGTCGGTACACTAGACACATTACCCGCCCATCATGGTTATCCCGGGTTTTTCCTGAGCTGGAGAGGCCGAATCTACACGTGGAAGACCTGACGAGATTATTGAATAAGAAATATGGTTTTACTCGGATGGATGACGTCGATGTTGTCCGAGTATGCCTTCTAATACTTTTGCATGCCGGCTTTTTAGGCAGAGAGGCCAGACAACCTATTCCGAATGATCTAATCAAATTGGTAGAAGACCTAAATGCGTGGAACCTATTTCCGTGGGGCTCGTATTTATGGAAAGCTACATGGAATAAGTTATCGTCTGCCTTGGATGATCGAAAAAGTTTGCATGGCGATGGTTCCAAATACACTTGACAGGCTTTATTTGGGCCTTTAAGGTAAGAATTTTTATATAATGTTTCTAAAATTATAAGTAATTATTTAACAATTACTAATGTTTGTTATTATATTGTTTGTAGATTTGGATATTTGAGGCATTTCCCGCCATGAAGACATATGCAATAAAAACTTCAAATGATATTCCCAGGGTTATTTCTTGGAAGAGGAAACGGACCTTGCAATGGGAAGATTTACTACGGTATACGATAATAAATAATGTAAGTTAACATAAATACTACCATATGTTTATAAACAAGTTATTACTAGTACACGTTTAACTTTGTTTGAGCTTTTATATTGTTAGGAGGCCAACACTCCATTACAGAGGCTGACACCCACGGAAGCTGAGCTTGCCACTGATTGGTGGCAAGCTAGTAAGCGTTTTTTTGATGGCACGGATGATGAGCAGCCTCCACTTCGGGAGCCATCACCTCACTCAGAGCTATCACCTCACCCAGGGCCATCACCTGATCGACCTGACTATACACCTCCACAACGACAGCCATCACCTATTATGTCACATCATCGAGCCTCTTCTCCACCATCACTGCAAGATAGGCGACCGGCAAAGATGCCACGACGTTTATCTCCCTGTTCTCCACCTCCACGGGATGAGTTAGGGGAGTTACGTGATGAGGTCAATGCCTTGCGTGAGGAGGTCGGTACTTTACGCAAAGACGATGGTGCATGGCGTGTTGAGGTGTCTACTTTACACGGTGAGGTAGCCGCTCTACGTGAGATGGTAGCATCGTTGCAAAATGAGGTTCATACTCTACGCAACGAGGTAAGTTTAAGATTTTTCATATTTAACTTGATAATAAATTTACTCGTAATTTCACTTAGATTAACCATTTCACTTAGATTGCTTAATAAATTCATTCGGTTGCTGCCAATACTGCTAAACTGTTTTTGTTAGTATTTGTTTTTGTCTTTTGGTTGAAGTAATGCAATCCATTCAAGTTTCAATTTGCAGAAGAAGAATAGTTTACTTTCGCAACACGAAAATGACTATCGCAACGCGGAAATGGCTATCGCAATGCGAAATGAAAATCGCAACGACAAAATCGCAATGCGAAATGAAAATCGCAACGACAAAATCGTAATGCGAAATGAAAATCGAAACGACAAAATCGCAATGCGAAATGAAAATCGCAATGCGATTTGTGTTTTGCGTTTCGATTTTGTCGTTGCGATTTTCATTTCGCATTGCGATTTTGTCGTTGCGATTTTCATTTCGCATTGCGATTTTCATTTCGCGTTGCGATAGCCATTTTCGCGTTGCGATAGTCATTTTCACGTTGCGAAAGTAAGTTTCGTGTTGCGAAAGTAAACTATTCTTCTTCTGGAATGTTTATATATGTTGTCCTTTTAAATGTTTATATAAGTGCTTACTTCTGGAATGTTATCTGATGCATTTTGTGAACTATGATAGAATAATGACTTGGGTGAATACAACGCAAGTTTGAAACATATTTGTCTTTATTTAACATCATGTATGTTTATTTACTGATTTATGTATTAATTTTTTTTTAGCTGCCCGATAAGGTGGATGCTTTACGTCGGGTTTTCCTTGCACGACGGAGTTCACGCATCAGACGGCGTGCACGTGCTATTACGTCTCCGTTCACCCCAATGGTGCGAAGACTCCGCAAGAAAAAGCCCGACTCACCTGTCATCCCTCAAGAGTCCCCTCCAATCGTTCAAGAGGCCCCTATCATCCCTCAAGAGTCCCCCCCCACCGTTCAAGAGGCCACTGTCATCGTTGAAGAGGTCCCTCCCACCATTCCAGAGCCCGATTCACATGGGGTAATATATCGAATTATTGAGAAACCCCCACCGTTACCGGACATGATGGATGAGAGTTGGCTCTCGTATGAGTTACCGGCTAGTACCCTTCCGGTATCTGAAGTGGAGAGGAGACAATTACCGGAAACAATTCTGGATAATACCCTTTGGGCTAAGACCGCAGTTGATTTTTATCTACATGAGCGGAGCCAAATGTGTTACACTGACATAAGCAAACTCAACGATGAGATGTATTTGTTGCTTAATCGGTCTTGGTGGGGTGTGTTATTAGGGGTTGAAGACAGTGGCTATTTCGATGGGGAGGTAAGTCTTATATTTGTCTTATATATGATTTTGATTAATTTTTTTTAAAATTAATGTAATTCACTAATATATGTCTTTTTTTGTAAAACAGCATATCGATACGTGGGTGTCACGTCTTCTAATAATAAGGAAGCTTAGGAAAAATAAAAAAAAAATCGCGATATACAATAATGCCGGCGGCTTTTCACGCAGTTCACTTGAAGAATCAACGAGATGAATTATTTTCGTTGGGCAATGGACAAGCTAAACTTTATCCTGCATGGTGGGAGGTCAATAAGGTTAGTGTTTATTTTTTAAATTTTTTTAAAGGTGTTCATAAATAAGTGTGCAAATAAATGAATTATTACTTATGATTGCAGGTGTTTATCCCTGTTTTGGAACGTCGTCATTGGCTTCTCGTCCAACTTCAGCTCCCATCCCTGAAGATAATAGTATATGACAGCATGATAAATTACATATCACTGTCTGATTTGAGAGATATTATCAAGGGATGGAGCTCTCATTTGGCTAAATTCTTGGATGGGATTAATTATTGGACTCATTCTGGACACAAGAAGCCAAAGAAGTTCAATGTCACAGTTGTCAGAGACGAGACCGCGCCACAACAATCGCCGGGAGCCAGAGGGGATTGTGGTCCTCTTGTATGCATGTGTTTGGCGCATTTGACGACGGGAAGCACAGAGTTTCTACCTCCCACCGATAGAGATAGAGCTGCAGTAGGCTTGTGGTTTCGGCATTATATGGCTAGAGCGATATATTCGAGATGCTGCCTACCTGCATCCGCGTTATGAAAGTATCCATTGTTAATTGGTAAGTCAAATGCAAGTTTTGTTAACATATATACTCCTTTTGGTTTGAAAATGTTTGGTTAAGTACCTAGAATTTAATAATTTGCTGTTTGTAGGTTTTAGATGTGTAGGAAGTCTTGTTTGAGCAAATGTTTGGTTTCTGCAGGTTAATCCTTAAGTGAGCTGCGTGAAATGGATGTACGGGTGCAAAAATTGATTCATTGATTCAATAATTGATGAGGAAATAAGAATTATTATTATTTTTTATTGTTTAATTGATTTGTAAAACATGATTTGTAAATGTTGATTTGTTTAATTGATGTGTACATAATTCTTATTTGTGCTTGTTTAATTGATTGAAATGTAATAGTTGATTTGTTAATTTTCAATCTGCATTATGTTGAAGGCAAAACAGACTATCGCAACACGAAACTGACTATCGCAACGAGAGAATCGCAATGCGAAATGAAAATCGCAATGCGAAATGAAAATCGCAACGAAAAAATCGCAATGTGATTTTCATTTCGCATTGCGATTTTCTCGTTGCGATAGCCATTTTCGTGTTGCGATAGTCATTTTCGCGTTGCGATTTCCCCGTTACGATAGTCAAATGAATGTCTAATAAGTGATAACAACTGAACATATCATAGCAATGTTCAAACTCAAGTTATTAATACATGCCTAACTGAAAATGTTAAAAGTGCACACATAAAATACACATAATACAACGTTTGCATTTAAAAATCACCTAAGTTAACAGTCCCAAAAGGTGAAGCTGGTTGTGATTGGGATTTTGAAGATGATTGCGATTTTGATTGCCTTTTGCTTGACACCATATGAGCTTTGGATTTTGATGAGGATCCATATTTTGGTAGAGGAAAAGATGATTGCGATTTTGTATTATCGCGTTGCGATAATCAGTATCGCGTTGCGATAATCAGTATCGCATTGCGATTTTCCAAATTCGCATTGCGATTTTCCAAATTCGCATTGCGATTTTCCAAATTCGCATTGCGATTTTCCAAATTCGCATTGCGATTTTCCAAATTCGCATTGCGATTTTCCAAATTCGCATTGCGATTTACTTATTCGCATTGCGACGCATTGCGAATTGGGAAAACCGCAACGCGAAATTGGAAAATCGCATTGCGATAGTCATAATCGCGTTGCGAATCTGGAAACTGATTTGCGATAATGGAGATCGTGTTGCGAATTAGCGATCGCATTGCGATTTTGTTGGTCATTTTGGCAAATCCGGAAAAAATTGGTTAAAATCGTATATTATATGGGATTTTTGGTCACTGAGGTTATTTTCTCTTTATTTATTTATTATCTAACCTTTTTTGACCCATTGTTAGAAGGACTCCAACTGATCAAAGGTAAATGATTCAAATCGGGTAATTTAAATTTTTAACTTTTCGCAATTAAGACAATCGAAAAATTAATTGGTACCGAAAGAGCGGTTCAAGGGTGCTAATCATTCCTTGAACGTAATCGACTTCTAAGCCCGACACATTTCTGATAAAACGCAGATCAGGTAAGATGGTGTCCGATCCACCTAAATATTTTTTGAAGTGATCGGTGATAACTCTAATCCAATTAATTACGTCGAAACATAATTCTGGGCCCAACCGAAAGACGGCTGCTTGAGATATATATTTTAGTGTTTAGTTTTAAGTGACGTATGATAATTCTAGAATATTGTTTTGTCGGAGCAAGAAAATTGCAGTTTCTGTATTTAGAAAATTTTATAATGGGTTTTTAAGTTGGTGGGGGGGGGGGTTTCAAACGATTGGTTTCAATTTCTTTCGAGATGTGTCAATTATTTTTAGAGTGGTGATAATATATTTAAAAAAGTGTCAATTTTATTTTTAATATTTTTATGTACAACTATAAAAAAAAGTATTTTCAAACATTTTTGGGTGTCAAATATGTTGCTATGTCCATGTTTGGTATGATTAGCGGTTCTGGAGTGGAGAAATGGAAATTCAGTTACTCGTAGGGATAGATACAAAATTTTATGATAAGGGATGCTCTTCTAAAATTTTAGGGGAGAATAAATTTATAAAATTTTAGGTGCAAAAATAAGTTACGGATAGAAAATATATAAAAAAAATATCTAAAATATATGATTGTTTAAAATTCTAGGGTGATTCCTGGTTCCTTGCAGTTCTACAAAAGTATTCTATATGCCCTATGGGTTCAAATTTTACTCTGAATCATAGAGCAAAAGTTTTGGTATCTCATTAACCTCGTACTTGTTTGAGATATTTGTGGGGATCAAAACTGTCGAAAGCAGTCCCTACTGATAGGTTTAAGAGAGTTTTGTCTTCATGCCAATGAAAAATGTGATATAATTTCAAACCATTGCCAGGAAAGAAAAGGTGATGAACTCCAAACAGGGGCTTTTTACCTGGTTGTAATTTCTATAGCATACCAAATGAACCTGAGAGGACATAGCTACCCTTTGTTCCCTCTACAAGATGATATGGATAATCAAGGTAGCTTAATATTTTAATTTGGAGTTTGTTTTTCTTTTACTTTCAAAAGAAGATTTAGTTTCTGATAATTTAATAGTGGAATAGAAGGCTGGATGTAGTTTTGGAAGTCTATTTTCCAGTTCTAGTTAGAATTTGTTACATTTCGAGATTGGTCAGTGGTAGGTAGTTTTGGCATACTATATTAAAATTTGTTACATTTTCCTATTCTTTTATGTTAGAGTAACTTTTTTATAAGTAAAATCTTAAGTTTATATTAGACATTTACCATTGGACAAGTATGTCATCTTTCTTAACAGGTATCCAAATAAAATGGTAGATTGAGGCAAAAGGTTGGGTCAATGATTTGGGATATTCCTCATTCTTGCTGATCTGACATACTGAGGCTAAATGTTAGGATTTGGAAAAATAGCCTATACACCATTCTCTTTGTCCGAGGCTAAGCTTTTGATTCACGAGGGGTATTAAGGCATCCTAAATGGAAGTGGAGGGTTTTCACTTAGAATAAGTGATTATTATACTTGTTTTAATTGACCCTCTTCCATCACCTTGCTATTTCTATCGATCCTTGCTTGTTACAGAGATTTCTTGTTTGCCCTTTTGATAAAGAAAAGGTACATATTAATAGAGTATTATAATGACTAATGTATAGCTTATGACTCTATTACATACTTGTTGTTTACGACTCTTAGGACCTGGTTCCCTTTAGGTTATCAGCATGCTCTGGTGCCCTCTATTTATGTACAAGACCTCCATTTCGTTATTCAATTTAGTACATAAGATTGAGTTATGCTGGAGGTGGTTAGGTTCCCTGTAGGATGGCCTTAAGTTTGTCTTTTTCCGTCATGTTTTCTATCAATAGATTTCTCATCAGCAGCTTTTATTATCCTGTCATCTCCAAGTTCCTGATGTAGCTTTTAGCCTTGCAGTTTTGGATTCCTTTTCCTTAGAATTGCAATTTCCTATTGGCACCAACTAGTGCTTCCAACCTATACTTAAGTATTTTTCAGCACCTTTTCCATATGTTTCGTGTAATAAAATCTATGTGAGAAATCCTAACATGTCAGCATGGTTTTGGTAGAACCTAGCAGAATCATATACTTCAGCTGTTTGGAGTCCCTGTGGATTGGATGGTAAGTTAAAAGATTGTCCTCTTGTTGTAGGAAACCATTTTTCCTTATTGATTAGTCTTATATAAATGCTTTAATTTTTCCCCTGCATGCAACGTGTTGTATTCAATTTTTCTCTTTATTTTAGAGCTCTCTTCTCCTTTTGTATTTTAATTTTTAACGTAGCAGGGACAAACTATGGTTTGGACAAATGAGAAGCATAACTCTTATCTTGATTTCTTAGAAGAATCATTTGTTAAGCAGTTGCATTATTCTAGGAGTTTGCATGGCTGTCATCCACAAGTGGGAATGTGGAAGCAATGTCCATTCCCACAACAGTCAGCTGGACATAATTCTTCTCATCAGGTCAGAAACTTAATCTGCTTGTGCCTTCTTCACATTAGGATTATATATCGATTAACTGCATTACTTCAATAATTTATCTTCATTATCGTTTCAGTTTCCGATACTACAAGATGACTGTGTCCAGAAGATGAATTATAAGAGCAATGATCTTTTCTTGGAAACCATTGCTAAATCTGGTTCTGTGGTGCAAAGTCCAAGGTTACATAATTTTACATCTGCAGGCAAAAGCAGCATAACAACATTTCCTGTTCCAATAGAAATTGTGGTATCCAATGATGGAATCTACTTGAGAAGTAATACAGACTTTTCTGGCAAATCAGCAGTAAACTCGGAGCAGAATCCCATCATTGATTCATGCAATCACAGCTTGGGTAGCTGCAATGCTGGTAAATCTACTTAAAAGCCTCGATGTACTAGAATTTTTTTCTTTTTCCTCCACCCATTCACATCTATTTTGAGTTCCCATATTCCATGCTGGTGCATGCTTTGAACCATTGCACTTTCTCATGAGCATGCCTTAATTTTCTGGAAATTTTTGCACACAAGCATGTTTTCTTCTCCTAGTATGCTTTTGATGGAAATGTTTCACAGATGAACCTTACGGGTTATGTTACTGATGTTTGACACCAGTGAAGGCTTGTCTGCTTTGGCTATCTTTCTCTCTATCTAGACCTTGCATGATTGGTGAAAGCAACTTGATCTTACATATTTTAAGTCTTGTGAGCAGTTGCCTTTGTTCAACAGTGTCTCCAAATTTCACAGTGAGTGTACTGTTTATGTGTGTATGTGCGCGCATCTGGATTTCGTATTTCGTTATTTGTTAGTTGTTACTAGAAGCTTTAAATGTGGGTTTCAAATGAGGGAAGACCTACAGGCGATCTTTTTTATTGGATTAGAATAGATTGGATGAAGTACATGTTCGGCTGGGGGGCACATCTGGTGTGGAGGGTGGCCCCACACCACACTTATTCCAAACGGACTCAAATTGGAGAGATGCCATGTGGGAATTGTGTTTCACTATGATCAGGCTGAAAGGAAAGTAATTGAAGTACCAGGTTTTGCATTACTAGGTTGAAGGAAACTTTTATGAATGGTTTGCTGGAGGATTCCTGCTGTATCTACCAAGAGCTGGGCAGTTGAAAACATCTTGATAATTGTAGTAAGGATATGAGCTTATACAAGAAATGGAAGGATAATAGTGAAGCCTGAGAAGATGAGTTGAAGTACTAAAAAGTTTCGGACCTTTATATTTCATTGAATTTAGCAACTAATCTTTCTTTCTTGCATATTATATGGGTTATCTAAATGCGTTAATATCAGAAATCATCCAAGCGATCGGTTATTAAGCATTTCTAATTCCTTGTAAGGAAGCCACCTGTTGTCTATTCCTTTTATTTCTGTGACTTGAGGATTTCCTTGTCATTGGATACTTTTCCTTCGTATGTTCCATGAGACGATCATGTTTACACTATTATTTTGTTTGTTCCCTTTTGAACATTTCAACCTTGTTAATTTCGTTCATGTGTTTTGGCTGCTTGATTTTGATGCTTAACTGAAGTAATTGGTCTTTTATAGAGGTCTCAGATCAGAATTTTGTGGATGAAGACCAAGGAGAAATGACTTGCTGGATATGTGGGGCAAAATGCTTGAAGACGACGACAGTGCTTAATGCTTCAAGTAACAGTCAAGTAAAAGTTAAAATTTAACCGTGTCCTTGGCTTTTATATAAGATTTCAGTTATTCAATGATGCTTCATGTTTTGGAACTCTCACTTCTATTATTTATGAAATTCTTCTTCAGGTTGCCTGTTGAAAGTATTAAAATGGTTTTCAAGTTTGATAACCAACTTTGAAAAAATGGTTTTCAAAGTTTGGTAAATGTTTCTTTGAAAATGGTTTTCAAAGTTTGGTAAATGTTTCTTTGAAAAATAGTTTTTCAAAGTTTGGTAGATGTTTGTTGAAAAATGATAATGGGATAATCACAATTAATCCATAGGTTTTAGGGTATTTACAAGATTAAGTCCTTAAGTTTCAACTATAAATACCCTAGCTCATTTAGCTTCAATACTATCCCAAAAAAATCATTTCTTTCTCCCAATACTAGAGAGTTTTCTTGTGAGTAGTGAGTGTTTTGTAAACACCTGTAAATTTTCTCTCTTAGTAAAAGATCTGCAGCAGTCCGGAGACGTAAGCACAATTGGCTGAACTCCGTTATCAATTTCGGGTATTATTTTTCCGCTTTTATTTTGCATTCTCACTAATCTGGTTATAGGGAAATTACTTGTACTTGGTTTATTTCCCAACAACTGGTAATCAGAGCTTTTGGGTTGTGAATTTTGTCAATTTTTTGCGAGGTTACTATTCGGGTTACTATTCACGTGAATAGTGAATTTCGTGAATAGTGAAATTCGGTCGGCGATACGAGTTTGTCGACGGAGGTGTTCTAATACACGGCGGTTCGCAAAAATTGTCAGAAACGATCCAAACGAAGCCAGATTCGAGTGGGAGCGATGGCTGCAGACGAAGGGAAGGTGAAAATTGAAAAGTTCGATGGTGCGGACTTTGGATTTTGGAAGATGCAAATTGAAGATTTTCTATACCAGAAAAATCTATATCAACCCCTCTCAGGAAAACAACCAGAGGGCATGAAGAATGAAGACTGGGCTCTTCTCGACAGACAAGCCCTCGGAGTTATCCGACTGATGTTATCCCGCAATGTTGCTTTCAACATAGCATAGGAAAAGACCACGGCGGGTCTTATGACGGCTCTCTCCAGTATGTATGAGAAGCCATCGGCCTCAAACAAAGTTCATTTGATGAGGCGATTATTCAATTTGCGAATGACGGAAGGGGCATCGATGGCACAACACCTAAATGAACTCAACACAATCACAACCCAGTTGAGTTCAGTGGAAATTGAATTTGATGATGAAGTTCGAGCTTTAATTCTCTTATCATCTTTACCAGACAGTTGGAATGCTACTATTACAGCAGTCAGCAGTTCGTCGGGAAACAGCAAATTAAAATTCGACGATGTTCGGGATCTGGTACTGAGCGAAGAAATTCGACGGAGAGAATCGGATGAAGCATCAACCTCCTCAGCCTTGCACACGGAGTCCAGAGGGAGAACTTTAGAAAGAAATTCAAATCGTGGCAGATCGAAATCCAGAAGGGGAAAATCAAGAACAGGAAATAAAGATTTTACCTGTTATAATTGCGGCAAGAAGGGCCACTTTAAAAGAGATTGTCGAGCACTGAAGAAAAATACCGGCGCACAGGAATCTGCCAATATGACGGAGGAGACAGGTGATGCCATGATTTTAAGCGTCAACAGTCCGATTGAATCATGGATTTTGGATTCAGGGGCATCTTTCCACTCCACGCCATGCCAAGAAATCATGGAGAACTATGTCAGTGGTGATTTTGGGAAGGTTCATCTTGCTGATGATGAAACCTTGAAGATCGTCGGAAAAGGAGACATCCGACTAAAGCTGCCAAACCAGACCACCTGGAAGCTTACAGGAGTGAGACATATTCCTGGTCTCAAAAGAAATTTGATTTCTGTAGGACAGCTTGATGAAGAAGGATACAATACAACCTTTTCAGGTTGTGAATGGAAGATTACCAAAGGAGCACTCGTCATTGCTCGTGGTAAGAAGACTGGTACTCTCTATGTAACCTCAAATTTAGAGAATATCATTGCAGTAGCAGATGATGATGGAAAATCAAACCTATGGCACCAAAAGGCTTGGCCATATGAACGAGAAAGGGATGAAGACACTTTTATCAAATGGGAAGCTGCCGGATCTAAAGAATGTAGATGTCGGACTATGCGAGGATTGCATCTTTGGCAAACAAAAGAAAGTCAGCTTTGCAAAGATTGGTAAGACACCCAAGGCTGAAAAGTTAGAGTTAGTTCATACTGATGTATGGGGACCATCTCCAGTTCCATCTCTTGCAGGCTCATTATATTATGTCAGCTTCATCGATGATTCTACAAGGAAGGTGTGGGTTAATTTTCTGAAGAAAAAATCAGAAGTCTTTGATACCTTCAGAAAATGGAAGGCCATGGTGGAAAATGAGAATGGTATGAAAGTCAAGCGGTTGAGGTCTGACAATGGAGGAGAGTACAAAAATAGGAGATTCAGAGATTTTTGCGCAAACAATGGGATCAAGATAGAGAAAACAGTTCCCATGACACCGCAGCAGAATGGCGTAGCAGAGCGCATGAACAGAACTCTGAATGAACGTGCCAGAAGCATGAGGATACATGCCGGATTGCCCAAATTTCTATGGGCTGAAGCTATTAACACTGCAGCTTACCTGATCAACCGTAGGCCCTCAGTTCCTTTGGATGGCAGAATACCAGAGGAAGTTTGGAGCAAGAAAGAAATAAACCTTTCACACTTAAGAGTGTTTGGTTGTATTTCTTATGTACACATAGACTCTGCTGAAAGAAGTAAACTTGATGCTAAGTCCAACAAATGTGTCTTTTTTGGTTACGGCGGTGATGAGTTTGGTTACCGGTTTTGGGACTATGAAAATCGGAAGATCATTAGAAGCAGAGATGTCATTTTCAATGAGAATGTGATGTACAAAGACAGGTCAACTGTAGAATCAAGCAGCTCCAATACCAAAGCTGAAACAAAGGAATTTGTTGAGTTTGAGGAGATTTCTGGAAATGATGTTCAGATCAGTCCTGAAGCAGTTCAAGAAGAACCAGGCACACAGAACTAAGACGCTCCTCCAGAATTCCTAAACCAACCCAACGGTATTCTCCTTCTTTGCACTACTTGTTGCTGACTAACAATGGTGAACCAGAGTGCTATGATGAAGCAATGCAAGTGGAGGATTCAGTCAAGTGGGAGTCTTCCATGAAAGATGAGATGGACTCGCTTTTGTCAAATCAGACGTGGGAATTAGCTGAATTACCACCAGGCAAGAAAGCGCTTCACAACAAGTGGATTTACAGGATCAAAGAAGAGCATGATAGGAGCAAACGCTACAAAGTGAGATTGGTTGTCAAAGGTTTTCAGCAAAAAGAAGGTATTGACTACAATGAAATTTTCTCTCCAGTCGTGAAACTGTCTACAATCAGACTGGTGTTGAAAATTGTAGCTGCAGAGAATTTACATCTTGAGCAGTTAGATGTAAAGACAGCTTTCCTTCATGGTGATTTGGAGGAAGAAATCTATATGAGGCAGCCAGAAGGCTTTATAGAGGCAGACAAGAAAAACCTGGTATGCAGGTTGAAGAAGAGCTTGTATGGTTTAAAACAAGATCCTAGACAGTGGTACAAGAAGTTCGATAGTTTCATGAGTAGCAGTGGTTTTACTAGATGCCAAGCAGATCATTGTTGCTACATCAAGAGGTTCGACAATAGCTTCATTATTTTATTATTGTACGTTGATGACATGCTCGTTGCAGGCTCAGACATGCAAGAGATTATAAACTTGAAGCAAAAATTGTCAAAGCAATTTGCTATGAAGGATCTGGGCGTTGCAAAGCAGATTCTTGGGATGAGGATCAAGAGAGACACAAAGTCAGGGACTTTGATATTATCACAGGCTGAGTACATCAACAAAGTACTCTCCAGGTTCAACATGCAAGATGCTAAACCAGTAAGTACACCTTTAGGTGTTCATTTCAGACTCTCCAAAGAACAGTCACCAAAGACGGATGAAGAACGTGCACACATGGTGAAGGTGCCGTACGCCTCAGCGATTGGAAGTCTGATGTATGCCATGGTTTGTACCAGACCAGATATTGCTCAAGCAGTGGGAGCTGTTAGCAGGTACATGAATAATCCGAGCAAGGTACACTGGGAAGCAGTCAAATGGATCCTCAGATATCTACGGGGTACCACAAACAAAGCACTTTGTTTCAAAGGTGGAGATACGATACTGACAGGCTATGTAGATGCTGACTTAGCCGGAAATGTTGACATCAGAAGGAGCACTACAGGGTATGTCTATACTCTAGGAGGAACTGCAGTGAGTTGGGTTTCTCAACTACAGAAGATAGTTGCTCTCTCCACAACTGAAGCAGAATATGTCACTGTTACGGAAGCTAACAAGGAGATGGTTTGGCTCCAAAGTTTCTTGGAAGAGTTAGGCAAGAAACAAGAAAACAATGTCTTGTATTGCGACAGTCAAAGTGCTATACATCTAGCAAAGAATCCGTCTTTTCATTCCAGGACAAAGCACATACAATTGCGATATCATTTTATCCGGTCTCTTCTGGAAGATGAGATTTTGAAACTTGAAAAGATCAGTGGAGCTCAAAATCCGGCAGATATGTTGACAAAGACGGTGACTACAGACAAACTGAAGTTGTGTTCAACTTCAGTTGACATGCTAGAGTAACAAGACTAGAAAAGCTGTTGCATTGATCGAGGTGTGAAGACAGATTAAAATCAGTCTTCAAGTGGGAGATTGTTGAAAGTATTAAAATGGTTTTCAAGTTTGATAACCAACTTTGAAAAAATGATTTTCAAAGTTTGGTAAATGTTTCTTTGAAAATGGTTTTCAAAGTTTGGTAAATGTTTCTTTGAAAAATAGTTTTTCAAAGTTTGGTAGATGTTTGTTGAAAAATGATAATGGGATAATCACAATTAATCCCTAGGTTTTAGGGTATTTACAGATTAAGTCCTTAAGTTTCAACTATAAATACCCTAGCTCATTTAGCTTCAATACCATCCCAAAAAAATCATTTCTTTCTCCCAATACTAGAGAGTTTTCTTGTGAGTAGTGTAAATTTTCTCTCTTAGTAAAAGATCTGCAGCAGTCCGGAGACGTAAGCACAATTGGCTGAACTCCGTTATCAATTTCGGGTATTATTTTTCCGCTTTTATTTTGCATTCTCACTAATCTGGTTATAGGGAAATTACTTGTACTTGGTTTATTTCCCAACACTGCCCCAGTTGGAAAATTACAGACAATTTTGTCCACTGTTTGCTTGAAGAACAATTGTGTCCACTCATAAGATCCAACACAAATTCCAGTAAGAACCCTTTTTTTAAATAAATATGGATTTAATGATATATTTTTTTATATGCCAAATTTAAATTATTTATACAAACATATCAATATTTAAATATTTGATATATTATTTGTATTAGATCTAAAACAAAATTTTTAAATAAATTGCAGACTAATAAAAATGTCTGACTGAGATTATATTAATAATTTAAAGATTAAACTAGTATATTTAAAACCTATAAATTAATTTAAAATTTTAGATATAATTTGAGATTTCCGGTGTAAACAACTTATTATACGAGTGTGCTGAATTTGGTGTTGGCATACGGCAACAAGCAGAAAATAATATAAACATAATAATTTTTATAAACAGTTTTTTAGTCCAGTAATAGGTGTTTTGAATTAATAGTTATATAAGCCATCGATAATATATGGTGATTGATTAAATTTTATTGTGTAAAAGAATTCGCTGATGCAGTAAGATAATTAACCTGTATATTCAAAGGAAATTTAAATTTAATTATTCAAAGTAATAAATATGTTTAATCCTGAGTTGTTTATGACTGAATTGTTATTTTATGTAACGTTTAAGTTATTCATAATACAAAGTTTTAAGTAAAAGGCAACTGCAAACATATTCTAAAGTACAAGCTTCAAAAAGTATGAAACAAAACTAAAATTAATAAGTATGGCTATCAAAATTTAATGTGATAAACTGTTGAATATTGAAAGGTATATTTAATAAAAAAAATAGAAAAACATTATTCTAATCTTACTTGTCCAATTAAAATTACTTTCCTTATTTAAAAAAAATTATTATGTATGAACTATTTTGTGTTAGTGGTTAAAGGAATTGTTGTTGTTTTTTAAAGCTCGCATGTTCAAACACTAACGACTGCAGTAGGATGATTGAGCGTTCAATGTCAAATGGTTATGAGTATTTAAAATAGATATTACTCTGTAGTCATCTTAGCTTAATAAAAAATATTATATTTTCTCAATTTTTTTTAAAAAAAGAAACCGCCCTAAATATTTAATATTCGAACCAAGAGATTAAGATGATGTATTTAATTTGATAGAATATATGTATTAAACTTTACACTAAAATTAAGTTGAGGGACCAAACAAATATATTTATCCAAAAAAGAGTGAAAAAAGAACTAACAATCGGGTCGGGGGTTAGGGATGGACACGAGACCCGAACCCGACGGGTTCCGACCTGATCTGATCTGATCCGATCGGATTAAGTATTTGAAAAATATTATAGGTTCGGGGCGGGTCAAACTTTTTAAATGTGATGTTCGAGTTGGGTCGGATTAGTGTTTAGGGTGAAAAATACCCCTCCCAGAAAAAAATATAATTTTAAAATACCCGATCAGATCCGATTAGGTCGGGTATTTTAAAAAATTATGGATTTAGGTCGGGTTAAACTTTTTTAAATGTAATGTTCGAATTGGGTCGGATTCATATTTAGGGTGATAAATACTCAATCACCGACAAATGAGTATTTTTTAAATTAAATTAATATTTTTTATTATTTTAAATCCACTCTGAATTTTCTCTAAAAAAAATTAGGTACGGATATAGTAGAAGGTATATATTTTTCGGTTCGGGAAAATGATCAACGCCGCCAGTAGACCCCAATCCCAAGTCCGTAGACTTTTTGAAGGAGGCAAGTCTGCGCCTTCATCTCACTGTTTTTTTTTTGGGTTAGGACAACTTGTGCTGCAAACAGACAAATCCAAAGAGAAAGGGAAAAATTAAGAAAAATGTCAATTTTTTATCTTCTGCAACTCTTCATTTCATTCAACTAACATCTATAGCATTTTAAAAGGAAACAAAGGTTGTTCCTTTAGATTGAGAGATACAGGCAAGGAGGCTCTGTTTTTTTATTGATGGGTATCATCTCAAATCTAAGAGGACCAAAAACCCAGCAACAAGGGTTGCCCCTCTCCAATACTTTGCCACCTTCTTCGTCATCGGCTTCCAACAAAAGGAAATGGTGCAGTTTGATGCCTTTGGTTGTGGCCCTTGTGGTCATAGCTGAAATCGCGTTTCTGGGTCGTCTTGACATGGCCAAAAACGCTGCCTTTTTAGATTCATGGCCTGAGATGTTCCACAAATCACACTCCTCTGCCGGCGATCGGGGCTTGGTGAAAGAGAGTTGTGAGGAGTGGCTTGAAAGGGTAGATGCCGTGACTTATTCAAGGGATTTTGCCAAGGATCCCATCTGGGTTTCTGGTGCTGACCAGGTTTCTTTCTTTTCTTTTTCTGAGTCAAAATGTTGATACGATACAAGGTCTTTTCTCTGCTAGGCGTTAGATAATTAGCGTATTGAACACTGTACTGATGGTCTGTGAACCATCTTCCGAGATTGTCAATTTCTCTTATTTATTTGTCTATGAAATTATGAGGTTATTAGTAAAGTTTTATCACAATTTGACAGAAACATATGAAATGTAGATAAAAATAATGTCTATGTATTATAGCTTTTGAGTGAAGATCATGTCTCCATAGTGTGTCCCTAGATCAAACGAAGTACACCCCCCACCCCCACCAAAAGGATCCACTTACACAGTAAAATTTTTATTTCCACTCATCCAATGACCCTAAATATGTGTAAAGCTAAAATGGTTTTACAGTGTATAAGTGGATCCTAAACTATATATATATATATATAACATTAGGAGTTAAAGATGCTGTTTACAGTTGCTAGCCCACTCTAAAATGTTATCATTTTGCATATTGTTATTCATGGCTAAGTGGCTTTTCTTTGTGTTTTGCTAACTTCATCTTCATGGTATGTAGGAGTGGAAAACTTGTGGTGTGAGTTGTACGTTTGGATTTGATCCCAGTAAGAAACCAGATGCTGCCTTTGGTTTGTCTCAACAATCTGGAGTAGCTACCGTGCTGCGCTCAATGGAATCGGCTTCGTACTATTCGGAGAATAATATTGCTCAGGCACGACGGTGGGTAAGCACAATCCCTAATGACTTGGTTGCATTTGAAACAAACACAGATTTTTCAAATCTCCAAAATTTTGAAGTTGTTCATCCAAACACATCCTTGATGATTTAATCGCTATTTTAATCAAACAGAGGCAAGGGCAAGTTGAATTTTATCAAAACCCGTAAAAAAATATTTTATTATTTATCGAGTTTTAAGGTTTCGGTTTATCTTTCATGAGTTGAAAGGTTTTAGTCTCTCTTTGATGAAATGAGCTATCGATCGCAATAAAATCCTGATAATTTGGTATTAGAGCTAACAATTTTTGGCATTGGCTGACTGGGCAATGAAAAAAAAAGTTTGAGCATATGCGAATAAGGATAGAACAAATATGCAATCAGCATGTAGATGTGATTTTTTCTAAGAACAAAAGCCAAGTCTTTGATCAAATGCTTGAAGGAATGGATAAAATGATTGGTGTTAAACAAGTTTGCAACTCGGGTAGGTGCCAAGGTAGACTCTCTAGTTGAACAAATGCCAATCACTCTTGAGGAAGCTACCTTTTGTGAAGTTTATCCCGAATCCGAGTTTGAGGACAAGGGTTTTTTTTTTTACCTTCCTCTCTTCAAGAGGGGAGTATTGTTGTGGAGGCTAGTTGAATTTTACCAAAACCTTAAAAAGAGATGTAAGTTTTTCTCTAACGAGTCCTAAGATTTCAGTCTACTTTTGATGAGTTGAAAGGTAACAGTATTTCTTTCCAATATTCTCTTTAACAAGCTTTTTCCTACAGTTTCGAGAATCTAGGAGGCTCATGGACATGGCTATACACGTGTCCTTATGTTTTCAATAATCTTTAGCACGTACTTCTAGCATGTTTATATGGTTGATAAAAGTTAATGAGATCTCTGCCAAAAAGTATTAAGTAATTTCTCTAGCTTCTTTTTGTAATTAAGCTGCTTCTGTTCCGGAAGTGTTCGACATAAGTAAACTCGACTATTGCCTCCCAAACTGTTTGTAGTATGCCAATTGTTTCACTGGATAAGCTGTCCTACAGAGCTAGACTTAAAGTGGATTCTAGCTAATGGGAAGTTTCTGTAATACTAATGGTTTTATTTTGTTTTCCTTTTGAATTAGGAGGGGTTTTGATATTGTAATGACGACTAGCCTTTCATCGGATATACCTGTTGGATACTTTTCATGGGCTGAGTATGATATCATGGCACCGGTGCTGCCGAAGACTGAGAAGGCCCATGCAGCTGCTTTCATTTCTAACTGCGGTGCCCGCAATTTTCGTCTGCAAGCACTTGTTGGGCTTGAAAAGGCAAATATCAAGATTGATTCTTATGGCAGTTGCCATAGAAATCATAATGGAATTGGTGAGTTTTTGTTTTGTTACACTTTTTTATATTTAAACTAGGTATATACCGACATGTACTTTGATGTTATAACTGTTAAATGTTGTAGTTTCTAATTTATGGAAACAGTTCAATTCAAACCAGAATGGCTGAACCAAAATGCTGAGTTGGCTAGGGTTGTATCACTTGGAAAGATTTTCTAGACCTCTCACTATTTTGAGAGATCATATTATTATAAGAGGTCTCTCACGGAGGGCATTTCAGAATTTGGAGGTCTATCACAGAAGCTGCTCTCAACCTGGCGTTGGGGGCAGCCTACTATCCTACCTCCCCCTTATCCCATTACGTATGGGAATAAGGGTCAGCTATTTTTTTTATATTATTATAAGAGGTGTGAACTGAGGAGTTCGGGGTTGATTTACTCGTGTAAGATTTTATCAAAAAAAATTTACTCGTGTAAGAAATGTCAAAGGTTCCACCTCAGGGGAAGATAACTGTTAACCTCAGATATGCAGTAAATATTTAACTAAAAGAAGTCATAGACATGAATCAGTTGTGGTTTACCGATATCATGTATACATGCTGTATCTTTAACCATACATACTAGTTATGCATTGTGTGAAGTAATTTACAGGTATATTCCATGTAAATTTTGCAGTGGAAAAAGTTGAAGCTCTGAAACGCTACCAGTTTAGCTTGGCTTTTGAGAACTCCAATGAAGAGGATTATGTGACCGAAAAGTTTTTCCAGTCTCTTGTTGCAGGTATGAGCTGTACTTATAATGGCACGTTAAACATTATATTAGGAATCAGGATTTGATAGACAAAATAATTCTTTTCGATCCGTTGTTCCTTCGATTGATGTTAAAAACTCCATACTTGAGTCTCTTAGAGTGAACCTAAACTTCTCCGTAGGAAACTTGTTCTGGTTCTGACAGTTTTGAGAAATTAGATCTAGAAAATTACGGTCCAGGCTGCAAGGATTCATGTGTTTTCATTTGGGATCTGAATGTTTCAATATCAATTTTTTCAGTTTCACCATTTGATCAACTGAACCGTTAAAATTTTGTAGGAACCATACCTGTTGTGGTTGGTGCTCCAAATATTGAAGACTTTGCACCATCTCAAGATTCATTTTTACATATCAAGGAATTGGAGGATGTTCCATCAGTTGCCAAAAAAATAAAATACCTCGCAGAAAACCCCGTTGCGTATAATCAATCACTAAGGTGTGTGGTATGCTAATTTACCAGAAAGCTGGTTCTTATTGTTGAATAGTCAAACACACCCCTCTCCCCTTGAGGTTTGTTGATGGTTTGTGTTTAGTTTTGGGTTCTTCATTTGGAATCTTATTGACCATGCGATATGCATGAATTAGGTGGAAGTACGAAGGACCATCTGATTCATTCAAGGCTCTCGTGGATATGGCTGCAGTTCATTCGTCATGCCGTCTGTGCATTCATTTGGCAACAGTCATCCAAGAGAAAGAAGAAAAGAGCTCCAACTTCAAGAGACGGCCCTGCAAGTGTACCAGAGGGTCGGAAACCTTGTATCATATATACGTAAGAGAGCGAGGGAGGTTTAAGATGGATTCTGTTTTCTTGAGGTAGCCACCATGTTCTTTAGCTATTATTAGCAAATTGTTACAACATATTTTTATCGACCCTTTTTTATCCAGACTTTATTTTCTTTAAATATTACGATCGATGGGAAAGTAGTTGAAACCTTCTGGGTGTTACATTCCTAAGCATGAGCTGATTTTAGTGGTTCTTCTAAAAGTAGAAACTGGAGGAAAATCCTTAACTTCTGACATTGATGATTAGATCTGGGAATTTGACTCTCGTGGCGTTGGAGGCAGCAGTGGTTATGAAGTTTAAGTCTCTGAAACATGTGCCGGTTTGGAAGGCGGAAAGACCCGAAAGCATCAGAGGAGGGGATGAACTAAAAGTATACAGAATATATCCAGTTGGCTTGACACAGAGACAAGCTTTATATACCTTCAAGTTCAAAGGGGGTGCTGATCTAAGGAGTCACATTGAGAACAACCCTTGTCCCAAGTTTGAAGTCATATTTGTGTAGATTGAATAGACAGATTACCTGTAAGAATATCATATATTTGTAATCATTGATAGGGATGAGGATGGTTATAGTTTTTACTGATGCATCAGTTAGTTTTGCGTCTCATCTAATCCTTTGCCTTGGAATTCTTCAAAGCATTAACAAAATATTGGATAATTTAGTTTGATTTCGATCATGTTGCTGGGAACTCTCTGTTATACATAATATGAATGCTTATCATCTGTGTGAGTTTTTTGGAGTTAGATTTTGAGTTTGGGAATCCAGACGTTAATAAGGATAAAATTATATATATATATAATAGAGTTTGGGAATATATTAGATTCTTGGACATATTGGTGGACCTCATTTTACCTATTGTATCTACGTGTTTTGATTTTATTTTGGTAATCCATCTAGGGGTGTAAATAAGGCGAGATAGATTGTGAGTTTCTCGAGATCAATTCGACTAAAGCTTGATATATACTCACTCAAATGGACTCGAGCTCGAGCTCGATTTGAGTTCTTAATTAGTCGAAACAAACTACTTGATACTCGAATCGAGAAGCTCACGAGCAACTCGAAAAATATAATATATTAAGAATTTATTTTTTTGAAAAATTAAATTATTAATAATATTAACATTTATGTGTTGTTTTTTTAAATTATATTATAAAGTTTTTATGTATTTAAGTTTTACGTTCGAGTTTGAGCTTGAGTTTCAATCAAATTAAGTTTAAGATTTTTTTTTAATTTCTAGATTTTACGAGCTTCAATTCATGGTTTCAAGTTCGAATCGAGCTTGAAAATTTTAGGCTCGCGAGTTTTCGAGCCAAGTCGAGATGCATTTTAAAGTTTTTGAGTCGAGTTGAGCTCAATAATACTCAAGCTCAACTCGGCTCGTTTACAACCCTGCATTCATCGTTAAACAATTAATAGAATTGTTGTGATATTTTTTAATTTTTTATACAATGATATGATATTATTTTATGTTAAAACATCAATATCATCATATATATTTTAGCGAGCGACCAAAATCAAATCAAATCTAAACAATAGATATGATTTTACAAAAAAAAAATAATTATATGATCAAAATTGAAAAAATGTCAGTTGGAGTATTAAACGTGTAATTTATCTAAAAATTATCATCGAACCCATGAACAACCATCCAATTAAGGGTGCTTAATGAGTTAAGCAGCTTGAACTAGACTCGGTCAAAACTTGATAAAAATTCAACTCGGGTTGACTCGATTCGAACTCGAGCTTGACTCAAGACCTTAATGAGTTGAGTAGAGAAAAGTCCAACTTGACTCGATAAGTTCGCGAGCAACTCATTAATTTTTTTTTATTAATTTTTAGTAGTTATCTTAAAAAATTATTTCATTAAAATAATTACTAATTTACTAATAGATAATAAAAAATGATAAATTACTAATCTATTAATTTTCTAATAGATAATTAAATATATTAAATTACTAATTAATCATTATTATTTTACTACAACAAAAAATTAAACTGTAATTATTATTTCAATTTATTTATGAATTTTTATTTTGATGTTTATACTTTGTTTCATACACTCTTTTGATAATGTTTTGGTTAAATTTATTTATTTATATTTATAATAAGTTCTATATAATATTAGTAGACAGTTAAAACAAAATAAAAATTTTGGTGATCTTAAATAGCAACGAGCTTAATGAACAACAATTCAACAACAAATTTTTTTAACAAGAACAAGTCGAGCAAAATTTTTAACTAGCAACGAGTCAAGCAACAAATTATATAGTAAAATATATGATTAATTTCCACGTGTAAAAAACAACATTTTTTTCAATTTTGTTTTTGGTTTTATTAGTTTTTGTAGTATTCTTATTTTATATGGGAAAAGAGATCTCTTCAATGAAACCTGGGAGTCGGTGAATTGGAATTCTTGCATTAAAAATTGTACAGTTGGAGGGATATCTCTTTGGAATTGGTGTGCGATCATGGGGTCGTATATCTGGAGCAGCAATTCCAGGCCAAACGCTTTGCATTTCCTCGTTGCGCTTTACATCGCCCTCTGTTTCCCTGTCGCCAGGTTCTTGCTCGACAAATTCATTTTTCGCTCATGTTTTTCTTTCCTTCTTTGAGTTTTGATTCCTAACATACTTTTTTGTTTCAAAATTTTAATTGCTATTTTGGTTTTATTATATTCCGTTTGGCATGTATCAAGCTTAATAAAGAATACTTCATTTTAAAATAAATCCATCGTATATAAAAAACATGCTAGTAATTGGGCTGAGGTGAAGTCAAGGAGGAACTTTTTTTCTAGTTTAATACAACATTTGAATTTTTATTGATGCTCCTTTAGAGGTTGTCTGTCTGGTTATTGAGTAATGGATCCAGGGATTTAAATAGCGTTCATAGTAGAATCGTGTTATTGCGGTTGCGGACATAACGGATACTATCGCGGTCACTGCGGGTGTTGCAGTCGTAAATTTTTTAAAATTTCGCACAACTTGTCCTAAAATATAATAATTAGAATTATAATTATAAAGAGTTATTTTTAATGACTTTTAAAATGTTTTCTAAGTAAAAATGACACACACATATATATATATATTTAGTTTAACCAAATAGAAAACATTAAAAACTCAGTAATAGGATAAGATAAAAATTAGGTTGAAATTAAACGTAATGATAATAAAAATGTATTGAGATACAAAAAATGAAGGTTGAAATGTTGAATGGAATTTGAATAAATTTAAAGAACACAAAATGACTAAATTAAATTGAATTAAAATAAATGTGTAAAATTTAAATTGCATAAATTTAGATTATTATATTAGGAATAAAATCCAAATTAAATCAATATTAAAGTTACATTATAAACTAATGATTAAATTATAAATTCTAAAAAGTTATAGGGAGTGTGGTAACAAATTAACATATCCATTAAAATTATATTCTAAACTAAAAAGCATAGCAGAAAACTCTAGAAGTTTATTCTCTCAAATCCCAATCTCATCTCCCAACTCCCAAAGTCCCAACCTTTCACTTCCCCCCCCCCCGAATTATGGGTCAGTAGTTTCGGTCAATAGAGCCCACTAGATTTTTTTCAAGCCATTTTAAACCAATTCTTAAGAGTATTGGACCTAAGGTAGGCCCAAGAGCTTATTTTTAATTTAAAGTAAAAAGGAGAGGGACCTAGATAGAAATTTACCCATAGTTGTTTTAAAGGTTATAAACCCCTTTATTCTATAGAGATTTCCACTTAAAAATCAACCCCAAATATCTCTCCATTTTTCTTCTCTCGTTCCTCTCTTCTTAGCAAGTCAAGGTGAGAATTTGTGAGACTTCAAGTTTATATTGAAGAAACCAAGGTAAGAACCTTAATCTCTATCTCCTAAGCTTCATTTTAAGCCCCAAATCTTAAGTTTTTAGATTAGTTTTTAGAAAATGGATTCAAGCTATTCTAGAAGGGAATATGAGTTATAGGGAGTGTATTTAAGTTTTATCCAACATTTAGTTGAGTATATAACCCATTTGTATATATTTTGTTTAGTGAAAAAGATTGAAGAAAGTTTAAAAGCCAAGGGTAAAGGAAAGGTAGACTCTTAGTTGATTGAGAGAGGTTTTAGCACTCAAAAGGATTCATGTAACACACTCACAACTTCCTCATACCATTAGTGGGTCAATAGAAATGCAAATAGCTTATGTTTGAGGATTGAGGAATAATGAGTTTATTTTTATGGCAAATTGTATGTGTTAGGTTCGTTATATGTTTTAGAGCCTTATTTATGCTCCCTTAATATCACATAAGACTTTAAGAATGATTGGAGACCTCTTAGGGTCCTTGGGTTATGAAAAATAGAGTTTTTCGTACTTGTTTTATGGTATCTTCAGGTAAAGTATATATACTATAGGGATAATATCGATACTTGTTCTTCGTTTCTGGGTAAAATCGTGTTTTTCTAGGTAAGAGTATCGAAACTTTTTCAAGAATATCTAAACTTTGGGTTGTAGTTTAGAAACTCTCAAAAAGCATCGAAACTGGGCCTTACAGATTGTTTAAAAATATAAACACTTATATAAAGTATCGAAACTTTTGCAGGAGTATCGATACTCTTGGGCTAGTATCGATACTTTCAGTATGTTTTGAGCAAAATATCAGTTTTTAAGGGAATTAGACTCGAGGTAACCCAACACTTCGTTATATCATCAAATAAGACTACAAGTGGAACATAGTTAATCAAACGTAGAAACCAAATAATTAGGGTGACATAAAACTAGCCTTATTTGATGCTCGAGAAACAATTCAGACACCCGAGTTCCTTTAGAAAGCTAGTGGGGTCGAAAGTATAGATACAGTCCGGATATATCCTTAGGGAGGGCGCGAGGCCCTTAAAACTGACTAACTAGGGCGCAAGGTCTGAACACCCACGAGGGGTGGGTTAGTCGGGGGTATGGTGTCCGATGTAGAGATTCCAAGGGCCATATCCTCAATAGACTAGAGGGGTGTGTGAGCTCCAAGATGCAGAAATCCCTCAGCCACACCATGATGTCTACCATTAGAGTAGAGAGTGAATATCACGAGGATATTCACTACTGATTGAGAAGCTTGATGTAGTTCTATGATGCACTTTTAGTATGACCTAGTTGTTAGTGTGGTATTGAGCTAGTTAGCTCAGCCTTTAGATGTTTCTGTTGGCAGGTTAGTAGATTGACCAGTTCGAGGAGCTTTAGAGAAACTGAGGTCCAGACCTGACCCAGATCATATCAGAGTACGTCTCAGTATTTTGAAGGGCATGTATATTTATAAACCCTAATGTAAAAGTTGAGTTGTCAATTGTAATTTAAGTGGTGTGTTATCAATGATTTACTCATGCAAATGGTTGTGGTTTATGGTTGTTTAAAAGTAAGAATATTGAGAAAATAGTTGGTTAGCCATTTCGGTGGTTCCATGTGACACCCAATTCGGTCGACTGTTTGTTGTATTGGTCTAGGGTGTTACAATCTTTCTTGGTAACGTATCTTGATGGAAAATATGATGGAAAATAATTTCTCATGAGATATTGTCTACCTTGAAGGAATAAAGTTGTTTTATCCGTTTTTTATTGAAATTTATGAGTTATGAGGTTTCTCTTGATACATACCTCAACATGTTTTGCTCTGTTCTCTTTAGATTTCCCATTTTCTTTAATTCTTGGGTTCTGTATGGTGGGAGGACTAGGGCTTGTTATACCTGCCGACAGCTTTACATTTAATTTCTTCCCTTTTTTCAGGCTTTCCTTAAGCCTTTTCTACATGTGCCAATGTGGATTCTACATCTATATCATTGTTGCACTCCTTACTTGGGAGACTCGAAGGAAGGACTTTGCTGTGATGATGTCTCATCATGTAATTACTACTATCCTGATTAGCTACTCATATGTCACAAGGTAACTTACCCTTTTCAGTGGCTACTCATACGTCACAAGGTAACTTACCCTTTTCAGTGGAAGTGCATCTATCCTGTTGTTACTTTATAGAAGAGGCAAATAGTATTACCTGTCTGTTGTTTGCATTCCATTTTTGAAATTATTATTCTCTACACACTAAAATGTGTTTGCTTTCTGTACGCGTATATGGTATCCCTAGTTGAATATGCTCCCGTTTGCAAGTTGGTTTGATAAATTATATGAACTTATAGATATCCAAGCATGAAGAAGATTATAATTGGCTTGTTTACAACTTTTTCCGCATTGGTTCAATTGTCCTTTCCCTACATGATGCAAGTGATGTGTTTTTGGAAGCAGCTAAAATTTTAAAATATACGGGAAAGGAGCTCGGTGCTAGCGTGTGCTTCGGATTATTTTCCAACTCTTGGCTCGTGCTACGTTTAATAATATTTCCGTTTTGGGTCATCAAAAGTTCAAGGTTTGCCTTTACGTTTATGATTCGGTTTCACTACATGATCTGCAGACTGACTGATGAATTGTCTACTTTGGTGGTTGGCTGATGAATTGTGGTTGGCTTGTAACAGCTATGATGTTATGGAGTTCTTACGTCCTTCAGCGTCATATCCCAAATTCTTGTACTATTTTCTGAACACTATGTTGCTAATGCTGCTTGTGTTCCATGTCTACTGGTGGGTGCTCATATGCACAATGATCATGAGGCAATGGCAAAATAGAGGAAAAGTAGGTGAAGACATTAGATCCAGTAAACATAAAATATTGTAAATAGTAAATTTTAAACAACAATGAATCAAAATTAAAAAATTGATTAAAAAATGTCAATAATTGACAACTTTAATGGGTCAGGTAGGTCGAATACTTAAAAAATATATTTTAAAAGAATTTTTAAGAAAACATCAATTAAAAGATAAACTGATCTGCGTTTTAACCAAAAATTCGTTCTTTTTAATAATAAAAAGGGATTCGTGGTCGGTTACATTTAGGGAATGATTAGCACCCCTACAACGTCCAAAATTGGTACTTTTTAATTATAAATTGTCTCTATTATTAGAAATTTAAAAATTTAAAATATATTTAATTCATAATTATGTTATTTCAAATATTTTAAAGAAAATATATTAATATTTATAAAATATTTATTTATTTAGAAATATCAGAAAAGGGCTTCTAGGTGCTTTAAGACAGCTCTTTTCTTCGATATTAATAAATAAATAACTAAAAAAAAGATTTTTTCTAAAAAATAATTAATATATAATTTATAAAAAACAGGATATTTATTTATTTAAGAATATCAGAAAAGAACTTCTAGGTGCTTTAAGACAGCTCTTTTCTTCTATATTAATAAATAAATATTAAAAATGTAATAATTTTTCATAAAAATGATTTAAATAATTATAATTTTTATAATATTTAATATAAATATTTATAAGACTAAGATAATAATAAAATAATAATTAAAGCCATAATTAAAATATAAGAGTGATAACAATAATATTGTAATTAAATAATGATCAAAATAAAAGAAATTAAAATTATAAAACTAAATATAAAGTATCAAAAATAAAGATAATAATTTGAAATATTATGAAAGATAATGGTTAATAGTGTAATTTAACCTAATTAATTAATACGGGATTAAAATAAAAAATACTAAACTATAAGGGACTAAATTTGATATTTACCTAAATATATATATATATATATGTTAATAAGGACTAAATTAAAATAAAATCAAATTAGAAGACTAAATTAAAATAATCAAAAATTGCTTTTAGTGACTAAATTGAAAGGTATACAAATTTGGAGCACTGCGGACGGGGTTTACCCTTTATGAAATTACAGAAATACCCTCCCCAAAACGACGTCGTTTGGGGAGGGTTTTAAATACCCAATCGGCCGGCCCTTATGTGCCATTTTTCTCATTTCTTTCTTTTCTTTCTTTCTCTGAGAGAGAAAACTCTCTCTGCTCTCTCTAAACTCTCTCCCCGGAGAGAGAGCTGACCACCGGCCGACAACCATGATCCGCCGCAAGTTTCACCGTCGGCCACCGCCTCCGGTGGCCGAAAATTCCCAAATTTACCTAAAATATAGATCTAAACGGCCTAAGACCGATTCCGGTCTTTGTTTTCCCTAAAAACCCTTAGGTTCCTGTAGATCTAATTTTCTTACCTCCGAACTTTTGATTCCACGGTGGTTCCACGGTGGTTCAGCAACTCTTCGATGGTGAGTTTCTTCTCCGTTTCTCTTCTTCTGTCTTTCGTTTTCTTTGGATATGGTTGCTCTCGTCGTTACTGTGTTGTGTCTTGCTGGGTATCTTTGTCGTTGTTTTCTCTGGTCTGTTGGTTGCTGTCTTCGTTCTTTTCTTGCTCTCCTTTTCTCGTCTTGCAGGTGATGGCTTTATAGCCTCGATGAGGCTCTCGTCGGACCGGTTACAAGGGTGTAAGGCTCGGTGAGTCACCAAAGCTATGCTGGTGACTCACCATAGAGGGGACGTGTGCGGCTGTTATCATGGCAGCAAAGCTTCTGGAGGCTTCTGGTGAGGGCGTGGCATTGGTGGAGCGTTGGCAGTGGCATTGGTAGCTGCTGGTTGGGTCACTTGGTAGTGGAGGCGTGGCAATGGGCGTCGGCACGGAGGTGGTGGCGACAGCGGCGGCCGCGTGGTCCCTAGGGTATCATAACCCTAGGATTTCTTGTTGTAAAACTTTGGACCGTTGGATCTTGCCAGATCCAATGGTGGAGATCGTCTGGCAGCTGGGGATGAGATGGAAACCCTAAAAGGGTTCTGCTAGGCCTGGACTAGATTGGGCCGGTTTTGGTTGTGTAAAACAGGCCTGATTATTGGGCTCCGGGTTTTGTAATTATTTATTAAATAATAATAATATATAATATTAACATTAATAATAATAATAATAATAATTATAATAATTATAATAATAATACTAATAATAATAATTTTAATAATAATAATAAATTTAAATGAAAAATTGATGTCTACAGCTGCCCCTCTTTGCTCATCCTTGTGTTAACAAGAATAGAGCAAAGACGAAAAAAACAATAATTTTTTCATTTGGCTTCTTTTGAGTAGGATGGAAATGTTGAAAACATCATGCACTGAAGGGCTTACAGATGACCCGAAGGTTTTTGAAAACATCAAAAAGCTCCCGAAGGCTTTTTGGAAACATCATGCACTGTAGGACATACAGATGACCCGAAGTTTTGAAAACATCAAAAAGCTCCCGAAGGCTTTTTGGAAACATCATGCACTGAAGGACTTACAGATGACCCTAAGGCTTTGAAAACATCAAAAAGCTCCCGAAGGCTTTTTGGAAACATCATGCACTGAAGGACTTACAGATGACCCTAAGGTTTTGAAAACATCAAAAAGCTCCCAAAGGCTTTTTGGAAACATCATGCACTGCAGGACTTACAGATGACCCTAAGGCTTTAAAACATCAAAAATCTCCCGAAGGCTTTTTGGAAACATCATGCACTGAAGGACTTACAGATGAACCTAAGGTTTGAAAACATCAAAAAACTCCCGAAGGCTTTTTGGAAACATCATGCACTGAAGGACTTACAGATGACCCTAAGGTTTTGAAAACATCAAAAAGCTCCCAAAGGCTTTTTGGAAACATCATGCACTGAAGGACTTACAGATGACCCTAAGGTTTTGAAAACATCAAAAAGCTCCCAAAGGCTTTTTGGAAACATCATGCACTGCAGGACTTACAGATGACCCTAAGGCTTTGAAACATCAAAAATCTCCCGAAGGCTTTTTGGAAACATCATGCACTGAAGGACTTACAGATGACCCTAAGGCTTTGAAAACATCAAAAAGCTCCTAAAGGCTTTTTGGAAACATCATGCACTGCAGGACTTATAGATGACCCTAAGGCTTTGAAACATCAAAAAGCTCCCGAAGGCTTTTTGGAAACATCATGCACTGAAGGACTTACAGATGTGGGAAATAGTTTATTAAGTAAAAAAAACTAAGGAAATCGTTTTCTTACTTTTCAACAATTTCATTTTTAGAAAAGATTGAATGAGAAACTATGGAAATCGCTTTCTCATTATTTTTCAAAATAACATGTTGATTGGGTAACATGCCCCAATCTCAAGATAAGGTTGTTGGAAATAGTTTACTAAGTAAAACAACTAAGAAAATTGTTTTCTTACTTTTCAACAATTTCATTTTAGAAAAGATAAAATGAGAAACTATGAAAATCGTTTTCTCATTATGTTTTTTTTTGGAAACATCATGTTGATTGGGTAACATGCCCCAATCTCAAGATAATGCTCATTTTTGTGGATTACGTCCATCTATTCTTCAGATGTTTGCATGATTCCTGTATTTACGGTTTTGAATACATTCTTCTTGTAAGGTATTTCTTACCATGAATCTTTTTGTTCTTCCGAAGATCTGTAAAACTTCATGTTTGAATGCACTCAGATGTATCAATGTAATGCATTGTCTATTGTGAAAATGATGTTCTTATGAATGAATGAATGTTGATGCAATCTTCATTTGACTTCAAAGTGGTGAACTTGGTCTTCCTTCACTTCATCATTTATTGCCAGGGTTACCTCTAGATATCAGTGTAGAAACTTATGCTATCAAGCTTGCATTTCTGCAGAATCATATGATCAACTTGTATCGTGGTGCCTTCTTTGCTTCATTTAAGTCTTAGAAGAAATGTTTCACTTGTGGAACTCTTGTCGTAGTCAAAATTATGACCCTGATGCCCCATTTTGTCTTAGATAAAACCAACTTTATTTTCTTGGACTTGTGTAGAAATCCCATAAAACTTTCATCTTTGAAAAGAGAATCTATCATCTTTAAAAAGAGAATCTATCATCTTTGAAGAGTGTAGATGTAGATATGTGACTCAGCGGGGATTAATTAGGGGAGTAGAGTCTGTTCTGATTTGACTCTTGAAACACATCATAAGGAAGATTTATTCAAATTCCTTTCATGTCTCCACATTTAATTGGTTCTCGAACAAGGCAACTTGAACCATATCATGTCGAGATGCTTAACCACAACCTGTCATTCAAATAGTTTCTTGTTGTTAAAATTTCAGCTCTCCCTTATGTGGAAAGAAATCTTCATTATATCTTACTTCTAATCTTGGGGTTGAAGAAGACAGATTTCATCTTGGATCAATAAATGGAAACCATATGATTGTAACATTGGTTCAGCATCAGAATAGCAGGTTCGTAAAATATTTGACAACACATTCATCCTTTTTTGTGGCTTCTGCTCAGATGTTCGTAAAACATTTGACAACACATTCATCATTTTTTGTGGCTTCTGCTCAGATGTTCGTAAAACATTTGACAACACATTCATCCTTTTTTGTGGCTTCTTCTCAGATGTTCGTAAAACATTTGACAACACATTCATCCTTTTTTTGTGGCTTCTGCTCAGATGTTCGTAAAATATTTGACAACACATTCATCTTTTTGTGTGGCTTCTGCTCAGATGTTCTCAATCATTGAAGCTCTTTGCCTAGTGTTCAAAGCTTTTGAATGATGTCACAAGACCATTTGAGAACAAAAACTCAATGGGGATTCAAGTGTAATGTTGGTATGACCAAAAAGTTGGTCAAATTCACAAGATATGCTGGTGTCGAATTGAATAGGAGACACTAACTGATCTTGATATCATCTCGGGCAAAGACAAATGTGATATTGATCACGTTTTCTTCTATAATGATCTTTGTAGGAAGTAGAAACACATCAACTGTAGGATCCATGTACAGAAAAAGGTTCATGAAATTCTTGCTGCTGGGGATGAAACGCACGTGATAACCCAAAATAAATAAAAACTCAGTTCAGCCTGGCTAACAATAATGACCCCAGTAACAATGAGAAATGTTAATATATGTAAGTCGAGCTTCTCTCTTCAATGTCATCAAGTAAAAAACTGATGTGAAAAACAGCTTCATAATCCCAATAGTATGGTTGAAACTAACTGGCAGGAATCTCAAAGAAACATTTTCAATTGTCACCGACACACAGAATACAAAATTCAAAGCTGAGATCTTGAGGAACTGAACCCTAGATCGAGTAGTCTGCCTGGGGATCATCTTTATTCATGCAACCATAATGTAGCTTAACAAAGAACATACTATCATGTGACATACAGTTAAGAAGATTAGGTATTTGAAAACATACTTGTTGAGTAAACATTTGTTCAACAACATGATCATAATGTAACTGCCTGATGAACGAAGCAATTATGTATAGTCAGCTCGACTGTCACTGTTTCACCATTTTCATTCTTCATATCTTTCTGTCTCATTGGAAATATTTGTTCAAATCAATGATCTTGACACAGGATGTTGTGGGCCTTCAGCATGCCCTAATATTTTTTGATATGAGCGTTCAAAATACATCAACATTCTTCATTCTGATTGAAAGGGGCTTTCAGCATGCCCTACCATTTTGCTGATATAAACATTCATGATACATCAACATTCATGATTCTGATTGACAAGGGTTTTCAGCATGCCCTAACATTTGTTTCTTGTTAATCTGAGCCTTCAAAATGCCCCACATGGATCTGTCTGACTTGGACTTCCAAAATGCCACCAACATTTTAATTCTGGTTTATTTTCAATGTCTGTTTGACTTGAATCTCATGATCCCTATGAGGTCCAATTTTGACAATGCATTGTGTGGATTTATTCGTGCCCCAAATCTGTTTATCTTGAATGCTCTCATTATGGTGTCACTAAACAACACTGTTGTCAAGTAACTGGAGGAATTCTCTTCACGTTGTCACAAACTTAAGAAGTATTCAATCATTCTGACAAAAACGTCTGAGATATTAGTCTTTTTGAATGAGGTGACCATTTTCTATATCTGGAGGGGTCTAGTCAGACAGAACAGTAAAAATAGCTTGGTAATCCGTTCCAGGCTGACACAGTGCCTTAAGCCATTTCTGAAATATACTTTTCTGTGGGAGAGAAACCAATTTATGCAAACAGTAATCTGATGCAATGGCAAGACTACATATACAATGGTACAGGCTCATCAAAAATCCACATCCATGCAACATGTTGATTCTGATAACAACTCATCTGATTATGAAGCGATCTTTCAGGATGATTTCACAGATATTGATAGTTCTTCTGATATCGAGGAAATCATGAATTCTGATTCTGATGAGGAGAGTAAACTGTTATACTTGACGAAAATGGAGTACTCAGAAGCTGAGACTTCAAGAACCATGTAAAGATGTAGTCTGAATTCATCAATTACAGAGTTGACAACTTTTATATGTGCAGATCAAATGGCTAAGACTGCTGATGCACTTCTTTCAGGAGAAGATAAGAAGTCGTTATGCAATAACTCCAATTACAAGAAAAGGCAAAACCCAGGTTATGATTTTTGGAAAAGGAAGCAGCAGAGGAAGCTTGAAAAGAAGCTTCTTAATGAAGACGATCATGCAGTTCATCTTCCTAATCCAATGATTGGTTTTGGGGTTCATACCAAACCAGATCAAATAACTCAAAGAACACTTCCAGAAGATGCTATTGGGTCTCCTTATTTCTATTATGAGAACATGGCACTTGCTCCAGTTAATGTTTAGACTGAAATGTCACAGTACTGATGTTGTAAAACCAAAACTTGTAGATTCAAAGTATTTTCATACTGCTACACTAAAAATGGGCTATGTTCATAATCTGCCAATTTAGAACAGATTTCCTCTTATTATGCTTCCTTCATGTGCCATACATGATGCTTTTCTATTGACAAAGAAATGATGGCCTTCCTGGGATAC